AACTCGTGGATAAGTGCCTTGTCATGCGCCGCGACAATTCGCAACAAATGAATGAAAAGCATCTTCCAAACGCCGAGCTCAAACTCGTGTAAGAGATCAACTACGAGGGCTTTGAAAATGTCGAATCCCAGCGGACCAAGGCGATCTATGAATGAATTCTATGGGTTGGTTAGCGATTGTCGGCGTCGGCGATGGATGCTCAGGCCTCACCGATGTAGGAACCCAGGACTGAGGCTTCAGAATACGCTCCACAGCTGCACTCCCGACCGCCAAGTTCTGTTCGTAGATCAACGAACGAGCAGTGCTTACTTGAGTCTGTCTTCCCTTGTCATTTCGGATCATAGTCTCGCGCTGTTGCCTATCCCGAGGCATCCCCATGTTCTGGATGCGTTCCTTAGGTATAAGGCAACGCGGGCATGGACAGCCTCCAAGATTTCGAACAGTAGCTATAAGCACCCTGGTGAAATTAGAATTGACGATGAAGAGCACGACAAGTCCACGTACTTTTCAGGATAATCTGCTGAATATGTAAAGATCCTAGGGTAGAATCTTCGTGTGATGCCGTCACAGCAATGAATGACGATGCCATGCTCGTACGCCTCCAGGAACTCGCCGTCCAGCAATATCTTCCATTGTTCGTGAAACAGTTCCCTGTGGCAGTGGGTCGCACACTCGCAACTCATGCCTTTGCCACCTATGAAATCTTTGAATGAGTCGGGGAGCTGACAGTGCAGGGTTAGGCAATCAGTACTAGAACATTGTTGGAAGGCGTACCGTCTCGAAGTATGCGACGTGGTTGCTCAAATGGCACGATGGCTTGCAGCGGCGGTACTTGGACTCGTTGCCGAAGTACATATAAGTAGGCCACAGTTTGGCGGTGCCAAACGAAGTCAGTTGCGTAGCGTCAGACCAGAACATCAGACCAGCTACAACTCGGGGCAAATTACAGCCAGGTTCCCTGGGCAATTCTTGGAGTTTGCTGTGGGCTTCATGGAAAGCCGGGCACGTGTACAGGTCTCCGTATATGGGGACTTCAGTATCAAGGTGGGGAGGATGCCAATGTAGCTCGTACGGCTCGTAATGGAAAAGCTTGCTATCTCGAGCGTTGGCAATCTTTTCCCGTATAACAGACACGAGGGAGCGATGGTATAAATCGGCGGCTTGGTAGACCCGAGGCCCTGGTGTGTCAGTGGTACGAGAAAAGGGCACGTTGATGGACACTGGCGTTCTGTGCCAACCAGCATCCTCGTCTTCCCACTCTAATCCATCTTCCTCGTCATACTCGTTGACGCCCAGTTGGAAGTTGATGTTCTTCCAGTGCGTGGAGCTCACGTCGGCACAGCTAAAGGCACTGTCGCCCAAGATACCTACTAAGTTCATGAAGTCCCTTTGAGACTTTTGCATCCCCTGGTTCCAGTACCAATCACCGAGTTCGAACGAAGCTCGGTTTGGATAGGGATGATACTGGGAGTCGCTGACTGAAGCAGCAGGTGGGTCGGATGCTTCATCGACTGGAGGGCTGCCAGGTATAAAGGAGAGGTCTGCCAATGTGACATACTCCTCCGGATCGTGGGATGGCGGTGTGGAGGAGAAGTATTGACGCACTAGCCCGAATATATTGGGGGGCGTGCGGAATATACTTCGCGACGGTAAGGTTGAGCTTTCGTCAGACGTGACGACTGCACCAACTGATGCTGGAGGTAGCTCTCGGACTTCCGCTGGCACAGTAGGCGGAGGCACAGGAAGTACGTCTCTAAATCGCTTTGGCATTTGGCGATTCTGACGTCTCGGTCGGCGCTGTGCCAAACTCATGCCTTCTTCTTCTTCAATTTCTGCTACCTCACAATCACCGGTGACGATCCCCGCCGCAGAAGCACACGGTGAAATGGGTGGAGCAACAGTGGCATTGGCCGCGTTGATGACAACGGACGCGTTGGCTTCCCCCGATGCCAAGTGGTTTGCGGGCAAATTGGCCAATCGATTGGGCGATTCATCGATCGATCGAGGTCCAGCGCCATCGTCTACTGTGCGCGTCCTTTTCCTGCGGCTTACGAACTCCTTGAGCGAGGACATAGCCGAAGAAAGGCGTTTTTTTGTGTGGGAGCATGATCGTTGATGTTGAATGAAGTGGTTCTGCGCCGTGAATGTACGCTTGCATATGCAGGCGTAACCGGGCGTTGACATAGAGGCATGGGCCGAGGAGTCTGTCACTGGCGAATTTGAGGGGGAAATTCGAGGGTAGAATTGCAGCCGAACAGCGCGATTTTGCTGTCGTTCAGGCGAATAGCGTGATTTGCCGATGCGGAATGGCAGGGTTTTAGGCGAGACGCTGACAGATTGGCGCAGGGATCAGATGCAAATGTGGTGACATAACCTGCATAGCTGTATAAATGTTGCGTGTTCAGTCATATGATTTGTAGTGCGCAAAATGTCCCCACCGTCTTCCCCATCTTCTGAGTGCTCCACACTCGAACCACCAGAATTCAAAGTCGACCCGAACGTCCTGAAGATGCTGGTGGCAATCCTTATTTGCCGCCATGGCATATTGCATTACCACGCTGAAACGGGGGAAACTGACAACGTTTCAATGGTAAAGGTCTTATTGGGATGAAAAGCTGTTCGTCACTCACGGGTACATGGCTACAGGCCGGCCGATGAATACGGGCAGAAAATACACCCTTCTCAATTCGCGACTTATCGTGAGGCACATGTATTTCGTTACCCATGTTGCCTTTGCGCCACGGGCGGCAGTTATGTCGAGACCTCAATATTTCAGCGTGCCACAGGGATTTCTAGAGGGGAATACGCTGCCGAATGCGCGACCGGCAATTGCGGATATATGCGTAAGTGTGCTTCTTGTATGTCAAGACCGGCGGATGGGCTCATCTTCCTATTAGTGAATGTGGAGAAGTTTTTTGGGAGAGTCTACATACCTGCAGTGTATTATCCGCGGAGAGGTATCTATTCACAATTAGATGCGTCTTCCTACCCTCATTCCCTTTCAGAGATCAACTGTCCTTCACGTTGTCATCGCGGTGACTCCATGGACATGGGCAAACATATTCCCATTGCTGTTAGTTGTGATATGTGGCAGCACTGGGGTACGGATATGATAGCAGATTAGTTAGCAATTAGACCAAGATAATAGACTACCAAGCGCACCATTTACGCTGATGCGAGATCGGACGACAAGGATGTAACCTGAACATCGGATCAGAATTTTCATATGGACGGAAGGTCGTCTCACCTTCAGTCTGGTGCTTCCCCATTGAAGCATTGGTGTACGGCACCAGCACACGTGAACTTAGTTTACTGCGACTATCCAATGTCACATTGGCACTCGTACATGATTACATCTTCGTAGCCCTTAAAAGCTTAATTTACACTATGGCTGCACAACGACTATAAACCTTCGATATACGCGTTACAAGGATTCGATAAATGCTTTACAAGGATTCTATATACGCTTTACAACACTAAGTATGCTAATGTAGTGGGATAGTGAATGGAAAAAGAGGCGAAGTAACAACCACTGCGGGTTTATAAAGTGATTGACTTTGAATTATCAAACTCAGCCGGCAGCACCCGAAAGAGCAAGCACACATGAATTTCTACTTTTGGCTAATGGCACAACATGCCACAACACAACCGCCCACGGACTCCTACCATGGACGTGTAAATTAGCTCTGATATACCATAAGTTTCTGTGTTGGAGGTTTTGTTGAGAGCTATTTGAGAACTGGGAAACAGCCCTGCAAGCGGCGCTATAGTTTAAAACAAAAAAAAACGCCGAGAAATTAACAATGCAAATCGTGAATTCGAACTCCAGAGTCATTGGCCGAAAAACCTATACCATCGATGCACATACCGCTACACCACAGGACCTTATACCTACATATTACTCATTTATATATGACCGCCTCCGAGTCATTCTCGATAGTTAGTCTTTCGCGAAATCTCAATATTTTACTGTGGGACAATTTTTTATGTATGTACGAAGTTGTCTATTCAAACTCGATACCACTTGGTTGCCAGGTATTGTAAACAACTTTCGCACAATCTCGGTACAGTCTACGGGCCAAAGTGGCAACTGGTGGTATAGGACACTGTATTGTGATTGTTCATGTTACGTAGTACGTATGATGTGGCGTTGCACATGGATTATATATATGGTATGTAAGTACATAGTGGGGCATGTATGAAAAACATTGTTGGCCAAAGTAAAAACAGCGTCAGTATGGAATCAAATGATGTTCCGAATAAAGAGAATCGTGTAAAATACAGTACGGACTATTATATCCCATGTTTTGAGGGTTCCACTAGACATATCTGATCGAAACGTAGAGTTGAGGTAACGGTACCCGCAATGATGAACTCGATAGTACGATTCGCGGAGCTACACTTTGATATAGTTACAATAAGTCCGCGATGAGTCCCGTCCAGAACAAGACACTGTTGGTGTTTTTTGCGTGGTGGGGCCGGGCTGAGATCCTGGGCAGGGATATGACGGTGTTGGAGTTTGGCGCCCGTGTGATTAGATGTGCAGAATACTGCGACACAATCCTCAGGTGCGGGTCCATTCTCTCCACAGAAGGGGTCAGGACAAGCTGTTGATACAAATCGCTTGGCTAGCCATCCTCCTTCGAATTTCGGGGAGACCTTCAACACCACATGATATGTGAAGAGCTTCGAGGCAAACTCCTTGCTCATTAACCAAGGGATTGGGGCTGTAATGAAATAAGTAGATATTCTGATGCCTCCGTCAAGGACTTACTGCTGTCTCGCGGTTTTGCACACTCTGGCGTCATTGCTCTGTTGGATGTCTTGCTTATCGACAGTCCAGGGGTCGTTTGTCGATGGGCTGGGATTGACGCTCGACGTCGGGTTATGCGTCATATCAGTGTTCTCTGGCCTTGCGGACCAAGTGGACCACGCGCTAGATAAAGATGGGGTGGGATCTATGGTGGAAGCGGGAACATCTTCGACAGGCGGGGTGGGATTTATGGTGGAAGCGGAACATCTTCGACAGGCGGGGTGGGATGTATGGTGGAAGCGGGAACATCTTCGACAGGCGGGGTGTGATTTACGGTGGAAGCGGGAACATCTTCGATCAGCGGGGTGGGATTTATGGTGGAAGCGGGAACATCTTCGACAGGCGGGGTGATGCTTCGAGGTGGTAGTGCTTGGAACGATCGTTTCCGCATGTCACAGAACGAGATGAACTCGGCGCCTTCGAGCATCGCCCCGTTTAGCCTCATTCCATACCTTGACAGTAGTTAGCCTTTAAAATGAGCTCAAAAATAGGCATGCCACTCACTTAGTGACGACGTCTGGGAGTTTAACCGTGGTGCGCCGCTGCCCATGCACAGTAACGGTGCAATTCTCGGAGGTGAGATCGCACAGTGTGGCTCAATAGCCCTTCTGGTAGCCCCCGATAATGAAGACTTCTTGGCCAATATCGTTGCGAAACGCATCCAAGCTGGCATTGCGAATTTTTGCCACGAATCTCATTGGAACATCGACCTGCCATAAGTCAGGAATGCTCGAGTAGAGATGAAGAGTACTTACGAGCGAGCGGTCACCGTCAGATACCAGGGTCAAGCGAGCGTTTGGAAAGTCGACGCTATGCACGAACCCTTTTGCTTCATATTCTGGCCCACGGACAACACTCACGACGTCTCCTGGCCTGACGTCATAACCCCTTTCCTTCGTGTATTGAAGTGTGTGGGTGAGGTTCGTCCGCTGAACAAATGCTGTGGGAACTGAGATACTCGATAGTTCACCACTGGACTCCGTGTTGTCCTGAGTGCAGACATCGCGGAACCACAGATAAGTTGATCCACTAGTAATCCAGGTCACGATGCCAAACTTTCCCGCATGTGGTCCGTCCCCAACTCGTATGTTATCCCCGATTTCAATAGATTCGGAGTCGGGGGAAGGCTCGAAATATTGCTGCGTTGGTAGCTGTGATGGGAGTGCATGACTCAACGGACGCCGATCTAAGTAGTACTTTGAAATTTCCACCTATTCACGAAGTGTTAGACAATTGAGTTTTTTCTCGAATTACGAAGACCTTTTACCTCTTCCTTGGAGACCGCTTGACAAATGCGAAAAATGTCCTCATCCATTTGGATGATGTATCCTTCTAAACCCAAGAACGAACCAGCTACAACTCTAACAGAGTCGCCGACCCGGAAGACGCGCTCTAAGTCCTGGAGTGGAAGTTCTATGTCTTCCAAACCTCCATGAAAGGTCAATTCCAAACCAACAGAATCGCAAGTATGGTCAATCGAGACGATCTTGCCGAGCTCTCCACGAAGAGAACCTTGGATGACCCTCGCATAATCCCCCACACGCAGGAACCGAGCGGAAAACGCCACGACAGTTTTCTTCAGGAATGGCTTGTCCCATCCAGATTGGAGATGCAGATGAATATCATCGACGTGAGGGGAGACGACGAGTTCTAGACGATCGCGGGGGAAGTTTTTGAGTAGGAGGCCCCTATAGTAACTTTCTCCTTTGTACATTAGTCCTACTACTGCGCCATCACGAAGTATATCAGACACCGCCTTGGAATTCGGAAGGCGAGATCGCTCGAGCAGCGCTTGGGATCTTCGAGGCACGGGATAGGGGAGGTTCCGTGAAGCAATTAAGACTGCGACAAGACCATTTGGGAGACTAGGATTGAAGACTTGGGCGATATCACCCTTGTACTTCCCGTCCCTGATCCTCACCCACGCCTGGTTGGGAAGTTCGGAGCGTGAACGTTCAACTGCTTCACGTTCTGCCTCCGTGATGCGAAGACACTCCTTTAGGGCGAGAGTATGTGATGCAGGAATTGAGTTGACAATGGTCTTGAAGGAATCAGTCACCACATAAAGCTGGCCTGCTACCCAAGGTGAGACGGTAACAGGAAGTTGTTGCCTCCGAAGATGTTCGGCGATATATTCAGTGGAAGCTCCTATGATACCATGAGCGCTACACTACGTTATTTGCAATAGACGTACTTTGTACATGAAGCAGATACATCCTTTTGTCAGCTGGCTGCATTTGGCCTGAGGCTGACACGATTGCGTCAGAAAACGAGGTGTCTCTGTGGGTGATGCCCTGGCGACCTTGTGATGAGTGTGATGGATTCTCTTCAAACCTGATGACCATGTCTGCAATAGTTGCAGCCAATCTCTCTTTTGCCGACGTTCCTGGCAATCGCATGGTCGGCGGCGACCGCGCAGACGTTCCACCACGATGATCGACATCTTCTGCTTCATCCTCCTCCCGTTCCTCATCCTCATCGTCATCTTCTGAAGCCTCAAGAAGAAGAAACCTATTTTGAGTCTACATCGTTCGTTTAGCATACACCGTTAGTAGTCATGAGATAGTGCTTACTTTTTTGCGTTGTTTTTGTGATCGTCGAACGCGTGAGATTGACAAGCGACCGACCGTCCTCGATGCAGATCTGGACACGGAAGAACCTTCTGTTGGCACAGAGGAGACCCGAGGCAGGTATTTGTCCTTCACGCGGAGAAGGTTTTCCAACGAAACCTCGTCGTTCCCCTCACCGGACCATAACGCATCTCTGGCTTCCGCCCAGTCATCTGGAGAGTACCGATCGCCCAGGTACGTGTAAAACGCGTCCTCCATCTCTGAGTACGTCATCGTGGTCGTGAGGAACTGTTCCATAAATGCCCATGCACGATTATCCGTCAGTGCCGATGGTGCTGTCGAATTCCCTGTATTCTCATCGATATTTTGAGATACAACATTATACTATGACTCACCTTGATCAGTTCTGAGGCGCTTTTGGGAAGGTTCATCGCCGTTGGATCCGGCGCGTTTTAGCATGTGTTATCTGTGATCTGCAGAATCACCTTCAGAGTTACAGTGAACTTACAAATACTACGTACTATAATCAATGCTTAGAGCTATTCAAAAGTCTATGCTCGCCGTGATATCTATGGTATCGTATCGAAGTAGTGGTAAAAGAAAGAAGACCTGTTCATTGCGCAAGGTCAGTATTTATAGTGAACCACTATTGTGGATTAGCTAATACTTACAGATGCTCGCGGTACAAATTCTGGGCGTACACATTGTGGATCCACAGTGCAGCAGCATTGTCTTCTGAAAATGGCGGTGCGAAGTGTGGACATGGTGGACCGACGGCACAGTATACGCCCTAATTGTGTGGTATGATCATATACTTGTGAGCTCTGCCAAATAAATTGTTACACATTGTAGTCCCGCCCGCTGTAGTATTCGCAGCGTAGAGTAATTCCAAACATTGGGCGGTTAAATGTACTAAGTCACCCGCCTACCCGCTACATTAGTATTTTGCAAGGCGGCATTCACCCGCACAATTCTACTTCACATGCTTCACACCCTCAACGCAAAAATACTTTGGAAGTCGGGAAAGAGATTATTGCACGTGAGTGGCACAGTTGATATACTGAATGACTATGCAATTCAGACCCAGCCGGCAACACCCGATTAGCAAGTGAATGCTTGCCTGGTGCCGAATGCCGTCTGAGTTTGAATTATCGTCGTTCACTATATTAGGGCTTTCCCTAAAAAGTGTTTCCTCTTTCGCACTTCCATCATCCCAAGCTCACATAGTACGAGTCTTTTTACACTTAGAATTATTCTCAGTACGGACGCGAGGCTCCTAAGTCTACTTTATCTATAAGTACCGTACATGTGTTATGACGAGTGGAAAGTTTCGAGTCTTGCTATATTTAAATCTATAGCAAGCACAAAAACCGATATTTAAGTTAGCTCTAGAAATACTATATGACATTTAGTGTGCAAGAAAAATGCGTGTCATGGAAGGGGGTAGACCCGCACTGTCCGCCCAATCATAGTTGTAAGGACATTGTTTAACCTTCGTCAGATTATTGTGATTCACGCCCGGTTTCAGATATGGTCGCGCATGCAACATGTCATTGACACCGGCTTCTTCAAATCGGATATATCGCAAACTACTTCTGTCTTGTACGTAGCACCACTTTGCAAATTTGAGTAAAGCTTCGTCACTAAAAGCATGAAGTCTAGCCCGTTCTGCGTGCTTGCCAGCATCATCTACTGCCCCATGACACTCAATACATCCTCTCCCAGCTGCGTCCCATGTTTTTCTTGCAACCGATACACCCCCGAGCTCAAAGATGCTCTCTCGCTTCTGAACCTTCACTATCCCAGACCGATAAATCTTGCATGAAGCCGGGAGAAGCGATACCTTCTCGAATTTGATCAAGGTCGGGGATATTGACACCTTCGGGCATATGAAGTTCGAGGTTTTCGGCGCGGTAGTACTCTGTTAGCCATCTGTGCCTGTACATCCCCACCCTATCCGAAAGGTATGATATATGATCGTATGCGTTCCTTAGCTTTTCCTTGACTTGACTTAGCTCAGATTCTGCTTCGCGTTTGGATTGTTGGTCAGTGTCTAGGTGCATATTTTTCAGACCTGGTAGCACAATCTATGCCTCCGAAGTATGGAATCTCACCTGTGGTTTGAGTTCCTCTGAAATTAACAATTAATTCGAAGGATGCGCGGTTAGCTTCTGAGTTGCTCTTCCGTAACATGATCACTCACTTGCAATCAGTACCATGTTGGCCACCTGTATCATAGCACATCGGTGTGTGCACAGTGGAAAGTTGGAAGCTGAAAGGTAAATTTATGAGCTTGGTACTGCATGCCATACTGAAGACCTACTTTAGAGTTATATTACCATCACCGAGGTGAATGCATTGCCTTGAACGCTTCCGAGAGGGCGATCTGGACATCCGAGATCCAAATGCTGTTGACGCTAATGGCGGGTGGGACAAAAGCCATCGACTTATGTAGCATGTGTGCTATGGCGCTAGGGCGGTGTTTTAGAAAATCATCCGTAAGATATCTATCTTGTTCGGATGACACGGTTGTTTGTCCTGTTACGATATCGACGGCGCCTTGGATGGCAGGTTTTTTGTCACCTTACGGTATCGATGGCGCTCGGATTCACGGTCGTTTGTCCCGTTACGATATCGATGGCGCTCGGATGGCAGGTTTTTTGTCCCGCGTGGTATTGTCCGTTGGGACATATAAAGCGTCTCGTTTCCTACTGGTATTAGAGTCATCAGAGCCGCTTAGTTCAACTCAGTATGAGTAGCAATGAGAATCATCCTCCGTCCCACGAGCCTTCGCGCAAGCGTCGTGGGTCAGCGCTTCACATGGGTCCGCGTAAAAAGGCGTACGTGCTCTTTCAAGTGTTGAATTACCGTCTTCCTGACTTGCCCCTCATCAGGACTTCATCGAATCCGCTAGTTCTTCACGGCCGACATTTTGGTCGGACCGTGTTTGCAATGTGCAACTATCCTGCTCTCCTTACTTCAGGTGTACTTCGGCTCGAAGAATTACAGGATACTCCAATAGAGGATTATCCAGCGGAGTGAGTGCAATTGCGATAACTACATGCCAACAGCACTTAATAACATTTTCAATTTTAGTGTTCGCCGGGAACACCGGGTGTTCATGGAGCTAGTAGACTCTTATCCCGGTCTTTTAGAACGTCTGGCGAATGGCGAGGAGGAAGATATTCACCACGTGGGAGAATTAGTAAGTTTCCAATACCTCCTGTTAGCATACTTATCATCTTGCAGTTGGGTAAAGGGGCGTCTGGTGCTCGAGGTGATGATACCAAGACACTTAAATCTGCCGTCCTTGAATGGCTTGTGCCCAGAGGACAAGTTGTCATACCGCCCCTCTCTCGAAACATTAAATCTGACCGCGGCTTTAATCATGAAGTGACCGGTGCGCTGCTCTGCCCCGCAGGCCTCGACTGGTCGAATGCAGAGTAAGTTTTTCCGCCGTCCACCGTATGCCAACTAACCATCATAACATTATCCAGGACAAAGCAGGGTCTCATGAGTGGTGAAACCGCAGTCCGTGGTGACCAGTGGCCCATGTTTCTATATACAGGTTATGTGTATGATCCCGAAGATCCGTGGAAGGGTTTATTGAGGAGTGAGATCCTCGTCTTCATAAATAAATTCCATTGTCAATAAAGTTGTCACTCAACGCAGTTCCCCTCTGCAGGGTTTCAAACATGTCTTCGCGTCTCCGAGCTCGGTGGACAAGGAGCCAAAAGCTACCCGCTCTGGCAATGCTTACATTCACTGCGGAAACGACTTTTTAGACGCATGCTAAACGGAGGGAGAAACCAGGTCTAAACGGACTCAAAACGTACTTAGCCGCTAACCGTAAGCAAAGCAGACATGTCGGTGATTTTAGATAATTTTGTTGAAGCAACAAATGTAAATAGCATCTTTTCAGACTTCGCGAACACATCTTTCCCGACCGCTGTTTAGTCTCTTCAAACACTTGTTATCCCACCACTAACCAGATCCGTAAATCCTTGCTTTTGATCTCTTTTTACGGTAGACTTGGGCGAAGGTGAGTATTATTGAAAATTCTTCTAAGTCCTCGTTTCATGCTATCATGATGGCAGACCGCAACACCATCAAGCTCCAGCTGCCTGCTTCAATCAAATCATTCAAGTTCACTTTTCAATGCAAAAAACCTGGTCCTATGGTAAGTATTATTCAGTCAAACTATCAGTCTACTAACTAGTAGAATTGTATATAGGCTATTGAGATATCCATGCAAGAGCCACTCGACTCGGAGCTGCCCTCCAGCGCTGTATATGGTTTTGACCCCAGTGAAATGTCCACCACGAAGCCGGGACATCTTACTGATTGGTTAGCAGACCAGACAGCTGTAAGTTCGTCTGTTGTTTTATTGATTTATACTATTGAATTTATATCTAGCAGCGCAACTCATTTCTAGCGCAAGCTGCCAAGGCGGCACCTCAACTAATAGACGGCAGTGAAACACAGCCAGAGTCAGAACCGCCTGCAATAAGTACCAACCGGCTGGTTGATGATCCAGCCAAGTGGTAAGTTGTTTTGTCTGGTGTCAATTTCCCTCTCGCTCTACTACCCCAGACTAGTACTGACCTACCTGTTAGTGTAGGACCTGTGCCCGACGACAGTGAGACGGAACCAGAGTCTGAACCCGAGGCGCCTACAGCTCCAGATTTTACCATTTGGTACGAGGCTAACAAGCATGTACGCTTTCGTTCTCTACTATCACAACCATGTCACTAACTAAGGTCTTTTTGCGCAGAAATCACCAAACATTTAACTGCATCCTTGAAGCATAGAATGAAGTCTCTCGACCGTCCTTTCTTGTCGCGACTTGCCAGGAACTTTATGACATCAATCTCCAAGTCTCTCTTTCGTCCTGTGTTGCTATCCTTGGTCCCAATGGTTCGGGCAAGTCGACGCTAGTTAAGCTCCTCATTCAAAGCCGGAGAGTGTGACAGAAGCGGACACCTTGCCATCGTTAACGAAGCCCAACCTTAGTACTTACGAATATTTGTAGTATGCTCACGTGACAATCTGATATCATTGCGCACGCGTCCAAACACGTCGTCGCGCACACCCATCTATCATGTTCGTTCGATGCTATTGCAAGACATCCAATTGCAAGGGTGCGCTGATCTCCTACGAGAAGAAAAGGACCCATGAAAGAGCAGACCTCCGAAATCACACAATCCTCGCGCAAGCACAGCACAAAAGGCTCGGTACACCAAATGCGCAAACAGGGCCTGTTCCACGCGGATTCGCAGTCCCTCTTCATGAACCCTCTGCACCACTATCTCCCCATGTTGATTTTTGCGATCCTGTTCGAACATCCGACTGCGCTGTGGAGCAAGAGATGCTTGACCATGGTGTATTGACAGGTGAAGACTTGGACCTCATGGTCTATGGCAGCGACTTGCCAAACCTCGGACCGAATTTTCACAGCCCCGAAGCATTGCTTGCAGCAGTGGACCATTTCACTGAATACAACACTCGCACAGAGGCTGGCGCATATCCATTGACGGCTTACAGGGCCCATCACTTGCCCCCTGACCCCGAGCAGCGTGCTGCAGAACGCCTATTCGAAGCGATGCTAGACGAAGTTGATCCGGATGCAGGATTTGAGGAAGACCCCGAGGATACCATGCTCGAAGATGTGCTAATGACCAGTGGACACGAAAACGAAGACGAACCAGATCCGTTCCTGACCGACGATGTCTTTTCTAGCTCTCTTGATGCGGACCTCACTCACGTCCCCCCGCATTTACTTACCATATATGCGCTAGTGACATGGCTCCATCTTCAGTATCATTTGCCGCGAGCAGCTTGCAATGCATTACTCGCAGTATTTGCTTGCTTACTCATTGCCATAGCGCCAGGACTCGACACTCCGTTCGTCACCCTTCAATCATCTACGCGTGTCCTCGGTGTCGACACGCCAATATACATACTCCCTGTATGTCCGGTATGTCGTGATGTCTTTCCACCAGCTTCCTCCCGGCTTTCACATGACGAATGCACCAACTGCAACATCCCACTTTTTCTTCCCAGCCAAACGAAGCGTGGTAACGATCGCGCAATGAAAACCCCCCTCATCAAGTACCCATATCTTCCCCTTTCCGAACAGATCAAGTCGATGTTGAAGATACCGGGCCTTGAGGCCGTGCTCGATGGTTGGCGATCGAAAACGTGATCAGTAGGAACTTATACTGACATTTTCGATGGCGACATGTGTCGCAAAAAGCTCAAAGATCCTGACGGGCGCCTTTTCTTCTCAAACAGTCCTGGCGACAAAACTGGACCAGATGGCAAGCTTCGGATTGGCGTAAATCTCGGTGTCGACTGGTTCTCATATATCCGGAGTAACATTGCCCCATCTCATTCGTCATGTCCGACATCCTTTTCGATATGTAATCTTCCCCCGGAGTACCGGTAAGCCGCTGAGTATCACCCTCTGACACATTTTTATGCTAATTATAATAGATATCGGACGGCAAATCTCTTATGTACGAGCATCCTCCCTGGACCCAAGGAACAAAATCCCGATCAAATTCAATGTTTTTTACGTCCTATCGTCAGCGACCTTCTGCACTTATGGAAACACGGTATCAAGGTCCCTACGGAGTTGTGTCCTGATGGTACGTATTGTATTTTTTAACAATCACACTATCTAATTATGATATCAGGGCGTCTAGTTCGTGTGATCCTTGTCGCAGTTGTGTGCGACAAACCCGCAGCCCATAAGATTGGAGGTTTTGCGTCCCACTCGCACACCTGTTTCTGTACGACATGTTGGATCACGACCTCCGACAAAGACAAACCCAGCGCATTCCAACCAGGGGGTAGGTACTCGAACTACTAACTTCAACTAACAATTAAGTTTCTTCTAGTATTTCGGCCTCGTACTAACAGCGAGCAACGTGAGCTTGGCGAACGATACCGTCACCTTGTCACGCCGGCTGCGAGGAAGAATTTCGTCAAAGAACACGCTACCCGCTATACCCAACTGGCCCGTTTACCGTATTTCGATCTCGTTGAACAAATTGTGATCGATCCTATGCACAATTTATTCTTGGGTGAGTGCTCATTTCATTCTCACTATTTGATACTTTACTTATATGGTGTGCGCTTCACAGGTCTTGTGAAGACCCATTTTTACAACATCTGGGTCCAGAACAAGATCCTTCGACCGAACCACGAGCTAACGAAGTTTCATGAAATGATAGCTGATGTGCGTGCAATCCCTCATATTTAATGACTATATTTTCTAACTATTTAAAGTTTGTCATCCCCAGCTCATGCGGCAAACTCCCCACTGATATTGGGATGCCCTCTGGAGGGTCACTTACAGCGGACCAATGGTTGCTTCTGTCAACCGTCTATGGGCCAATAATTGTGAGTTTGACACCTCACACACGCAGTCACTGACCCGCACCTCAGATCCCGCAGCTTTGGAGTGTTTGTCTCCCAACTGATGCCAGTACTGAAGTCCTACACCAGTGTCTCGACATAATCCAGCGTCTGGAAACAGATAAACAGGTACAGGCATCACGCACAGCTGACAACCGCAGATTACTTGCTGCAGCAAAGAAACAAGGCACAGAAGCCTTTGCCCTGGAGAAAGCTCGAATTGCGCAGGAAAAGCTCGCTACAGCCGAAGCGAAGAAGACCGCCAAACTCAAGGCAGCCGCAGCCAAGGAAGCCGATAAGGTCAAGGCTGCAGCTGAAAAGAAGGCACGTAATGCTCAAAAGGTACCATCTTTTGATCTTGTATTAGTTACGTGCTTACAGACCCCGTCGCTGCAGAAGTTGGCTGGGAAGCACAAAGCAACATCTCAGACAGTTGATGGCGAAGAACGCCAACCGCCCCCACCTCCTCAAGATAATCAGAACGCTGGCGACGAGTCAGAAAGCCTCGACGATCTCAAGTTTTCTCTACACCCAGATGACCCTGGCAATTTTCTGAAGTTGTGCTATGCTCTTCGCATCCTCGTACGACGTGTTATCTGCCAGACGGATATTAACGAAGCTGATCGGTTGCTTCGAGAGTACAACACCGAACTGATCAAGGTGTGTCTTTTATTACTCAACTTAACCTTCGTTCTTATTGGCGCATAGTTATACGGTTCAGCCGCTATAAAACCGAACCATCACTACGCTACTCACATCGCCAACTGTGTTCAAAATTTTGGGCCCCTCCACGACTTCTGGACCTTTCTCTTCGAACGACTCAACAAAGTACTGAAGTCGTTTAAGACTAATAATCACGCGGACGGTGAATTGGAGACCACCTTTTTTCGCGAATTCCAGCGAACATGTCAAACAAGCCGTTTGGTAAGCTCGATGTTGATTTTCTGTTCATCGTGATGTCTCACTGATTATTTTTACAAGACCTTCTCTCTACTATCTTATCCCAAAGATTCCCTTCCATGTGAAGCCGCAGAAATTATGCTCAAGGCATCGAGGGAGGAGCGCGGAACTGTAGCTGGATTGGCAGCTTTGTCGGAAGACTTGGATGACGCTCAAATAGACGGTATGCCTTTTCTCTCTATTTTTATATCGATTCTGATTTCAAGTAGTTACGCAATCATTTTCCCTGAGTCCACTCCGCAAAACACGAGTCATGTCGAGCGAGACATATCGCACTCTCGCACGTACACTTTGTTTTCGCTTCCCATATACTCCAGTTCATTGTCGTGGAGATGTACCATTGATTCAAAACAGCACGCCTCTCAATCGCGAAGCAACATTTTACGAATATGTTATTGTCAATGGGAGGCGTTACCATGCCTCAAGAACAGTAGGGTCAAACTCTTCGTCTCTCGTTCACGTCACAATTCCAGGAGCCGTCCCTGTCACCGTGTTTGGTGAATTATTGGAAATATTTCAATTCGAACGTCGATCGGGGGATTCTGTTTGGTTTGGCCGCATACGCTGGTTCAAACCCTGGTATGGCACGCGCAACAAAGTATGGAATGACTTGTAAGTAATTTTTTCGTGGCTGACTTCACAATTAATACTAGTATATCTCAGCGCATCAGTGGACATACGCTTATGGGAGCTCGGAGAGTACACCAATCAGGACACCCAGCTGCCGGCTCTCATCGACCTGGATTGGATCACTGGCCGACTGGCAATGACAACGGTCTCCGTTGGTGACGATCGGACCAAGGTTTGGGCGACTATCAATGTCCTAAACTAATCATGCTCTGCTTCTAGATTTCACCCCCCTCTTCCACTTGTCACCTCTTTTACCCGCTCGTCTTTCCACATGTTCAACTTCGGGAAACATAGGCGCCACCCAAACCCCAATCCACTCAACCTTCGACAAGACACTCTGACCCATTCTATGGTCACGAGCAGCCTTCACGGTTGTGCGCCAGGTTCATCACCCATCTGTTTGCTTGTCCCGAATACCCCCATCGTCTTCTAACTCTCAAGTCAAGCTCCCGCATTTCATCGCATATGCCTCCCACCGCACAAAGTTGCACTCATATGTTACCTTCGCTGCTCTCGTCCTCCTCCAGCGATTGAAAGCACGCTTCCCTACCGCTCGGGGATCTTTGGGACACCACTTGTTCGTATCTGCATTCATGTATTGCTTGCCTCAAAGGCCGCTGATCAGCTTTGTATCAAGACAGGTACCAAAAAAGGCCTTCTTTCGCTACAGGTGCCACTCATCGAGTTCCTGCAAATAGGTACGATCCTCCTTGATAATGTCATCTGATTCTTTCATCTGCTCATAAAACCCTTTCAACCATGGCACTCCCTCCAGGACCTTCATATCAGGGTGCTCTTCTTTCCACTTGTCGCTGACCATGTTCGCGAACGGTGCTGATTTCTTACCTGAAGATGGCTTGCGGTCACTCAACTTGTCCGGCGCAACATCCCAAACTTTCTTGTGGATCTTTTTAGGGCGTGTTAGAGCACGTTTAACCGTTTTTCGGCGCTTGGATGGACGTTCCATAGTGGGTTCAGCCACTGCATCACCTTGAACAGTAGGTGGGTCCACAGCTACGTCCTTCGCACTCTCTGAGTTCGATTCCTTCATACTTTTCAGAGTGAGAAATCGAAGGAACGTAACATACTTTGATGTGCAACGAGTTGTGAGTGCTAATCTTGATCTTATAATTGCAATTGGGAACTTACATCGACACTTCGCCATTGAAACCCGACGACCCTGTTGGCATTCTTTCCCACCCCGGCCTCCTGTTGGCGCGTCTTGGAATCATCTGACAAGTCAGATTCACCGCATGAGAGGATGTCAGAGGCGAAATCAGTATCGATCGTGGCGACGGCCCCGAGATTGCCAGTCTCTTCCTCGAATTGCATGGCAGCTTTTCGCCTGGATTTAGTTACCTGAGTCGAGTGAGTCCATGTCATTCAACCTAGTATAATGCAATACTCACATTTTGACGACGAGAGCGGTGACGTCCATGATCCTTGCGTTCTTTCGCCTTCTCAAGTTTATGCGCACTACTCCGTTCATCACACTGCTTATGAATATTCCTCCAGTACCCTTTCACGCACTTGGTGATAATGGGCCTGGTAAAAGCTTGGTCTGGTATCTCGCCTTGGCCAGACGAATTAGCACGAATTGTCTATCAACCGTCCTGGTGAGTCAATTTTAATATTATTTTCTATATGTACTCATACCATTTCATCGTTCCAAACACGATCCACGACAGCTTGGATGAATGGCGCATTGACATTCGAATCAATCTTGCCTAACCAATTCGGGTACCATACTCTGGGGCCGCCCTCCTTTTGCTCACACGGTTCTCCGTTCTCCAAGGGCTCAATCGTTAACAGCTCTTCGACTCGCATTGCTTTGTTGAGCGACGCTTCCACACCGCACAACTGGAAGAAAATTGGGTGAATGATTGTCTTGCCATCATTTGTAAGTTTTCATTAATACTCAAATTTCAGCATCTAACTAACCTTTAAGACGGGATGCATGTTGGAGATATTCTTTCCCATCGTGTCCGTAGATTTCCCTTTGTTCATCGGCTCATTTTCAACCATCTCCGCCATCTTCTTCTCAACTACATCAAGACGCTCGAGAACTTTTTTAAGGCAATCGTTGACCATCGTGTTTTGATCGGTTTGCTGATTTGAATTTTCCGTCAGGTGTTGCATCTGGGATATGATCTGCGCCATCATGCTGTTTGTATTCGCGGATTGTTCATGCGGTGAGCCTTGGTTCATGCCATATGGACTTCCGGCATTAATGTTGTTCCAAGGAGCTGTTAGACCTCTTGGATTGGGATGGGGTGCGAGCAAGGGTGATTCACCATACGGAAACAGGTGAGTTCCGTGGTTGTACGGTGTCCCTTGAGCTGATGTGCCTTGGTACGGTGTCCCTTGCCCAGACGACGACGCAGGACCTTGGTACGGTGCGCTAAAGAACGGATCGATCCGTGGCAGCCCGCTGCCGTGATTTTCGAGGGGGGACAGCTGTGGAGTCGCATATGGTTCGTTTCGCTGTTGCTGTTGCCTTTGACTTTCTGCTGACTGGTTATTATGATCAGGTAACCCAGCCCCACTGGGGCGTCTTTGTCCACCCTGGGGCAAGCCATACATCGTTGTAGGAGGGGAGGGGAACGGTTAGAGGAGCGGGAAGGAGGATCCCATTTTTTTCTGGATGTACGGCGGATCCATATAGAAGCATGTATTAATTCTAAACATACTCTAAATAGAGGGGATTGCGCTATTTTCGACATTCTAAGCAGACTTGCTACAGTAACTAATCATACACTAACCCGACCAGGGAACAAGACTTCTGTAGCCTAAAAAGAGTCTGTACTACGTTCAAATCCGTACTCTGCTTAGGGTATGCAAACTCGTGCTTTGTGTACTTTCATGGGTCCATTTTGATTTTATTTGTGTACTACGCTTTGTGTCCGTATACAGGCCCTAACCCTACCCTTTCCGCATGCGGTTTATTTTGTCGTTTCCGCAGTGATTCATGGCATGAAGTCTGTAACTAAAGGGTCCCTGGCCTACATCGCCACGCAGGCGCGCAGCAATTTTCATCATTGACACAACCCCTGCTGATCTATCTTTCAGGTTCGGTTTTCGTTAACTTCTTCTTCTGTATTTTCTCGTACCGACATGGTCACGGACTCCGACAATTTCTACCATAGCATTCTTGACCTGTTGGAGGATCCTGATGAGCATGAGGAAGTAGCTGACCTCATGATGTGGTGGACACGGTTCGTAATGCACCTCACCACCCATAAAGTCTAAATTAACGCTTATACAGTCGGGTTTTTCCTAATTCGTCATCTTCACAGCGCTGTACCAGCAAAAACAGCGCACTGTCAAAAATTCGGGAAAAACGCGCTGCCTTACAAGAACGAGCCACTGCCGACACTACTTAATTAAATGTGTTACTATGTACTGCCTGTAATACATAATATTAATGTCATTGATGAATGCTCCATCCGTATTTGCATTGCATGAGAATCTCTTTGTGTGTTTGACCACAATACCGCCAACCTGCCGTTAGTAATGATAGACCCTGCCATCGAAAGCTACCCATACAATAGTTTAGGTGTGTTTGGCAGAAGTTCAGCAGCATGCTATGACATGACAATCAGTTGTTGTACCCTGGCACACCGTCAGCGATTACGGGTCCTGCCATAAGAAACCGCCCATGCAACCATAGTTCTCTTCGGTAGAAGTTCAGCAGCTTGCTGTGGCATGACAATCAGTTGTCATACCCTGGCACACCGTCAGCGATTACGGGTCCTGCCATAAGAAACCGCCCATGCAACCATAGTTCTCTTCAGTATAACTTCAGCAGCTTGCTGTGGCATGATAATCAGTTGTTGTACCCTGGCACACCGTCAGCGATTACGGGTCCTGCCATAAGAAACCGCCCATGCAACCATAGTTCTCTTCGGTAGAAGTTCAGCAGCTTGCTGTGGCATGACAATCAGTTGTTGTACCCTGGCACACCGTCAGCGATTACGGGTCCTGCCATAAGAAACCGCCCATGCAACCATAGTTCTCTTCGGTAGAAGTTCAGCAGCTTGCTGTGGCATGACAATCAGTTGTCGTACCCTGGCACACCGTCAGTGATTACATATTCTGCTGTTGGAAACTACCTATGTAAGCATAGATAAATGTGACAATAACATGACAATGTGCTAGTAGATCATAACTTGGTACCATAGGTCTGCCAATATTACGGCATTGGGTGATCCTACCAACGTAGTCTAACTATTTATTCCTTTATCATATGACTGTAATTGTGATGTATATTCTTAATAACATGACAATGTGCTAGTAGATCATAACTTGGTCACATAGGTCTGCCAATATTCCAGCGTTGAGAGATCCTACCAACGTAGTCTAACTATTTATTCATTTATCATGTGATCTGTAATTGTGATATATAATTTAAATATTTTGTATTAAATAAAGCTAGCTAAATCATTGTCATACCCTGGTCAAATGCCTGATGATGCAGTACTGAATATCGGCGTTATACATGATATGAAAATCATTTATCATAAACATGTTTATAGACTGGCACATATGCATTTCAGGCTCCGAAGGGCACACATATGGTCAGATCTAGATCTAAAATTCGAAATTCATACAAACAGAGACATTCCGATTCCGATATTCGCTCACGTACGCTCCTCTTGACAGGGCTTTCGACCGATCATCAAAACAAAGCCCTCCGCTATGAGTTCACTACCTTGAGGCACTCGGCCATAAAATATCGAATCGGCCCATTAAGCATGCATTGATCGTACACGCGACCATGCCCTTAAAGCTGGGAGAAGAGACCAACAGGTTAGTATGCCCACAATTCTACAATTGCGATGACTCTCCTACAGGCCTGCGCTCTCCTCGTATACATTCCGCTCGTTTGCGCCTCGCTCCCGAGTCTCAACGATACCAGTATCATCCATACACTCGATACCAGCGACTCCCCATGCAGCAATAGCACCAGAACCTTGTGGAACATTCTCTTGAGCTGTGGCGTAACTCTTTTTGCATGCACATGGACTGCGATCCATACAAACATTCCGGGCATGGAGGAGGGCAGAGTCGCCATTACCTCTCGTCGTCTGTTCCTCATGGTGGCGGCGTTGATCGCCCCAGAACTCATGATCACCTGGGCCACGCGGCAGTTTTTCAGCGCTCGTGCTGCCGCAAAGTATTTTAATAATGAATTTGGTGCACAACATGCCCAAACCCACGACCGTGATCGAGATATATCAGAGGGCACAGCTACATTGCTCAGTGACATGAGTGGAGGTTCAAGCACTCCCAGTCCTGCGGCAGAGTTTAAAGGTCAGTTATATGCTCGGACTCTTCGGTCATGCAGGACTAACATGCATTTCAACGACTTCATAGAATGGACAATGACCCATGGGTTCTTCGCATGGATGGGTGGATTTATACTCTACGTTGATGGAAAACCGCGAGCCACTCGTACTCCCGGTGAACTCCTGCGGTTTGTTCGTGACAGATCGGTGGACATGCCTATTATCTCGGAGGCAGAGATAAAAGATCGAAGTAAGGGCGATGGATTATCGAAAGCAATCGCCCTTCTTCAGCTGGCGTGGTTTGTCGTCCAGCTCGTCGCTCGCTACGGTCAGAACCTTCCAAATACCCTGCTTGAAATCGACACTCTGGCAGTAGCAGCTTTGACCTGCGTTGCATATGGCTTGTGGTGGAAGAAGCCCAAGGATGTGGGATGCCCTTACATTATTCATTGGAAGGGAGCAGGATCACCGAGACGCTTAACCTACGAGTATGTCATCATTGTTATTGTCTGAGATGGCTCTGACTCGCCTGCATTCTAGTGAGGCAGATGATACCTTGGTCCAACAATTCGGCATGTCTTTTGCATATATCATGCATCCCTTCATAAGTCTCATGGGCGTTGCATCCTTCATTTCCCCCAGTGCTGCCCGTTCTCGTCGTGTTCCATCTCTAGGTGGCTATGACGGTGAGTATCATGGTTGGATCGTACTCCTCTTCGGCTGTTTCAGTGGGATGGTGTTTGGAGGGATACATTATCTGGGCTGGAATTACTTGTTCCAGAGACACGCAGAACACATGTTATGGCGTGCGGCTTCCCTTGGGATAGCATGTGCACCGGTACTTCTTTTTCTTGCTATTGGGTGTCGTATATGGATAGGCCCTCCAGGGAATATTGGCCAAGTGATCATGATGCTCGTTACGATCATCAGCCCTTTTATATACATTGTTGCACGCATCATAATAATTGTACTCATGATGCTGAGCTTACGATCGCTGCCTCTTGGCGTATATGACACGGTAGCTTGGACCACGTTTATTCCACATTTCAATATGTAGTTTCATTACATCGTTATATCAGAGTACTGGTTGTTCTGGGATCACTATCAGAACTTGAGGCCCGGGTGCGAATACGGATAAGTTCGAACATAGCAGGCCACCGTTCTACTTGCATACCACATTGGTGGCATTTGATGAATTGATGAAAACGTGTTATATGAATATATATCAATTGACAAAGAACAGTAGGTCACTACGTAGACATGCTATGAACGCAGGCTGCACGCGATCCAGCATTTATACTACGAAACAGGAGCAATGTCATGTATGAAACATACGAGGACCACGTACAGTATGGGTCTGTATCGGGATATTCTGCTCCTTGATGGCCCTCTTCAAAGCGACAACAGCTTTCGTGCTAGTAATTTTGACCCCGAAGACCCAACAACTGAGGTAATATGTAAAAATTTTGGACTTACATGTTGTTGATTTTGGCCGCCACGTCATACATATACACTCACAGCTAAGATGGCTCATTGCAAGGCCTGAAACAACCATAGCGTAGGAGTAGTGATGTTCGAACTACTGGCACGATGAGGGTACAATTCGGATCACAGTCCAAATGAGTTGTACACCTCTGACACATTTCACTATCACGTTGTGCATGCTTGTGCAACAACAGCAAAACCCAGAACCCCTGTGCAATCGGTGATCGTACATGCGACCATGCCCTTAAAGCTTGGGGGAGACCAACAGGTTAGTATGCTCGCAATTCTACAATTGTGATGACTCTCCTACAGGCCTGCGCTCTCCTCGTATACATTCCGCTCGTTTGCGCCTCGCTCCCGAGTCTCAACGATACCAGTATCATCCATACATTCGATACCAGCGACTCCCCACTGGCATGCAGCTATAATACTAGAACCATGTGGAACATTCTATTGAGCTGTGGTTTGACTCTATTTGCATGCACATGGACGGCAATTCACACAAACATTCCGGGCATGGGGGAGGGCAGAGTCGCCATTGCCTCTCGTCGTCTGTTCCTCATGGTCGCGGCATTGACTGCCCCAGAACTCATGATCACCTGGGCCACACGGCAGTTTTTCAGCGCCCGTCGAGCCGCAAAGGATTTTAATAATGAATTTGGTACACAACCTGCCCAGACCCATGGCGGCGATCGAGATTTATCGGAGGGCACAGTTACATTGCTCAGTGACATTCATGGAGGTTCAAGCACTCCCAGTCCTGCGGCAGAGTTTAAAGGTCAGTTACGTGCTCGGACTCTTAGGTCATGCAGGACTAACATGCATTTCGACGCTTTCATACTAGAATGGACAATGACCCATGGGTTCTTCGCATGGATGGGCGGATTTATGCTCTACGTTGATGGCAAGCCGCGAGCCACTCTTGATCCCGATGAACTCCTGCAGTTTGTTCGTGACGGATCGGTGGACATGCCTCTTATCTCGGAGGCAGAGATAGAAGATCGAAGTAAGGGCGATGGACTATCGAAAGGCATCTCCCTTCTTCAGCTGGCATGGTTTGTCGTCCAGCTCGTCGCTCGCTACGGTCAGAACCTTCCAAGTACCTTGCTTGAAATCGACACTCTAGCAGTAGCAGCTTTGACCTGCGTTGCGTATGGCTTGTGGTGGAAGAAGCCCAAGGATGTGAGTATTCTTATATTGTTCACTGGAAGGCAGCAGAATCCGAGTTACCGAGCCGCTTTACCTACGAGTATGTCATCATTATTATTGCCTGAGATGGCTCTGATTCGCCTAGTGAGCAAACTTTTGACTCCTTTAGCCTGAGATAGTACCTTTTATTATCTCTCTTCCGTCCCCTTCTCGGTCTTATGGGCATTTGGGCCATTAGTTCCCCCAGTGCTGCCCGTTCTCATCGTATTCCATCTCTAGGTGGCTACGGTGAGTATAATGCTAAGATCGTACTTCTCATTGGATGTTTCAGTGGGATGGTGTTTGGAGGGATACATTGTCTGGGCTGGGACTACATGTTTCAGGGAAACACAGAACACATGTTATGGCGTACGGCTTCCCTTGGGATAGTATGTGGGCCGGGCATTCTTTTTCTTGATTTTTGGTATATCCTGTGGATCGATGGTAGTAGTGTAGGGGATACTGGCGATATGATCATGACACTCGTTATATTCATTATCAGCTTGATATACCATCAGCATTGATTGTGTCCAGGCTTGAAGCACACATGACAGCGGGGATTTAAAAAAATTAAATAAGAAGAAAGTTCCCACGTGGCGTGCCTGCAAGATTTTTGACAGAGAACGTACGTGTTTGCTGCTCGCAAGAACCCTTCTCCACACTCCCTGGGAGTCGGGGAACCACGACCTTCGTGGACTTGTAGTATTGGTCCTTGCTTTTGGAAATTGGCTGTATTTGACACATCGTCTCGTCACGTGATCACGATGAACGGACTTACGACATTTGATTCATTGACGCAAGTCACCCCACACATCGGGGATCCGAATATTTAAGACTGGTTTGAATGTCGTGCGAAATGTCAAGATAATACT